AGCATCCTATTTATCTGAACGGAAGACTGTCTAACCTCAAAGTCCTTTTCTCTGCCATCTGGAAAATCCGTACAGGAAACCCTCCTTTATTCTGGTTTCCCACCCACCCCTTTCTTTCTTTTTTTATTTCCTTCCCCAGCTTGCTAACCTACAATAAGCACCCTGGAGATTTGAAAGGCAAAGGTGTAGGGAGCGATTGCCCGATCTTTTATTTCTCCCCCCCCCCCCTCGGACAAATGGAGGATTTGACAAGCCACTCAATAATGAGCGCAGCTTCAGGAGGGAGGGTTCCCCGCCTTGCTGGGAACACAAAAGCCTTGGGGTCTTTTAAAAGGAGGGCAGATTGGATAAATATGCCAAGAGACTCCAGAGGGCACTCCCATCAAGCCTTCTGTCCTATCTCAGCCGGCAGGTGCACCAAAACACACACACACTCACACACACACACACACACACGTCATCCTTTCTGGGGGGAAAGAAAAATTCCTTTTGCTTTTTCCTCCGCAAATTCTACTCTCTGCAAAGGATCGCTTTCTTTCTCTAGTCAGCCCACCTTCAGCATAATATGTTTCCACACAGCCATGCTTATATTCTCTCTGGGGGCCAACCACTAGAGATAAACATACCGATCAATAACCGACAGAATAAAAATAAAATGCAACAGTCTTTTTTTTTTTTTTTTAACAGGTAAGTCCCAGTCATTGTTTCCCTTTATTCTCAGTTCTCCAAACACCTTGATCGCTTTTTCTTGCATTCTCTCATCTCACAGCCACCCAACCATTTGGGATGTTTAGACTAGGTAGGTAGGTAGGTAGGTAGGTAGGTAGAGAGAGAGAGAGAGGGAAAGAGAGGGAGATTTTTTTTCTCTCTCTTCCATGATTTTTCACTGGAACATAGCGCTATCCACTTTCAACAAGCAAGGTGGTATCAATTCATGTACAGACAATTAATTTGTATTTAAACCTACACCCTCACTTCGCTGCAGAGATTCATCAAAAGTACAGGATCAGACTACCTACATTCAGATACAGATATTTCCTTTTTGGCTTACTTTCCCAAAAAACAGCATCTTGTCCTTCTTTCCTTCCTTCCTCCTGTCTTTCCGTTCCTTTCCTTCCCTCCTTTCTTTCCTTCCTACCTCCGTTTTCCTTCCTCTCTCTCTCTCTTCTTCCCTCTCCTGCTCCCTTTTTTCTCCTTCCTTCCATCTCTCCCTCCCTTCCTCCTGTCTTCTTTCCTTTCCTTTCTTTCCCCTTCTTTCCCCCCTCCCTACATTTTCCCTCTTCTCTCCCTCTCCAGCTCTCTTCTTTCTTTCCTTCCATCCCTTCCTCGCTCCTTTCTTTCCTTCCTCACCCATTTTCCTCCCTTTCTCTTCTGCTCTCTCCTTCCTTCTGTCCATCCCTCCGTTTTCCTTCCTGCTGTCTTTCCTTTCCTTCCTCCCTATTTTCCTTCTCTCCCTTCTTCCCTCCCTCCTTCCGTTCCTCCCTTCCTGTCTTTCCTTTCCTTCACTCCTTTCCTTCCTTACCTCCCTCCCTGTTTTTCTTCCTTTCCAACCCCCTCCCTCCCTCCATCCCTCCCTCTCCTGCTCTCCTTTCCCTCCCCATTAAATTCTCTCCCCCATGTAGTCCCCACCTACTGCAATTCCTAATCTTCCCTATACCAAGGTCATAAAAAAAAACCTGGCCCTGTAGACACCTTGGTTGCCATTGCCCCTCATGGCTCAAGTAATCAACGCTTTCACCCAGCACTTGGAGCAAGCCAGAGAAGACCATTATCAACATGATTTGTAGCTCTTATCATAGGCAGCCTCCTCTGCTAATAATAAAAGCAATCCTGAATAGTTGGGGCACATTTTGGCCACAGATACAATCCACAACCAACTTTATCCCCAGCACGCTCTCGAACTAGGCTGTGCAAGCTACGGTAGCTTTAACTAAAGATTCAAAATACTGTTCAATATCCTTATTATACTTATACTTATCTCGATATATTGTCCCCTCCATAGTGTCCAAGCACATGCAGTGTAACTATGCTACTAATAAAACAGATAATTAGAAATGAGATTTTTGGGGGGAGAGAGAGGCACAGGATCTCATGATACAGTATTTATATTCTCTACAGACATCTCTTCTTGTCCAAATTCTCAAAATAAAAATAAAAATAGAAGCCACAGAGATTCAATGAGGGGCTGGGGACAATGAGAGGGGGAAGGGGGGGCATATAAATTTGCTAAATAAACATAGATTATTCCCCTGATTACAGATCTTCTCACTTTTCTTTTTCTTTTGGTCTCTCTTAATGACCATCTTGGCAAACATCAAAGCCCTCCTGATTTATATTCTCCTGGCTTTGCTCCTTTGCACAAACGATGTCTTTTCACAGGCTGAAAGCTCACATCCAGCCCGTTCAAATCACACCCCCATCAGGCACTGAATAGCGAAGGATTGTGGTCTGCAGAAGCCAGCCTTTTGAAACAAAATCCCATCCAAATGCTGTTTAAAAAACAAACAAACCGCTATTTATTTGTCAAATTGATATGCTGCCCATCTCATTCTCCCCAGAAAGGATCATTTTTATCTGGTGGGAGAAAATGATAAATACTATGAAATCTCATGCCTCCCTCGCCCTCCCCAAAAGCTGGCTTATAGTAGCATGCATCCAGCCACTATTTGAAAAACTATCCAAATTCTGCCATTTAAAAACGATCCAAATCCTAATCAAAATATTGACAAACTATCCAAATCCTATCCAACTGCCATTTAAATTGCAGGTGCATAGGATTGGGATAGTTTAAATTGAGATTTAAATGATCCAAATCCTATCCGACTATTGAAAAACGATCCAAATGCAATGAGTAAATAGATAAAATACGCTCAAAAACATTTCTTTCTTTAACGGACCGAGCATTTAAAAAAAACCACCCTATTTAATAATCCTAATAACAACCAGAGATTCATAGGTGGATTTTTTTATTTTATTTTTTTAAATGCCAAATCCAGTCTAAAGATCTGGCTGGCTGTGCGACGAACCACAAACAATAAAAAAAAATATTTATACCTTTGTAGAATTGATATGGCCGCCCACTCATTTTCACTCACTCTTAGGAGGCTAAATCATCCAATCGGAATTTATTTTTATTTATTTATTTTTTAAAGGGAATTAAAGCTTGGAAATTCAAGATGCCCAAATCATATGCAGAGGAGAAATGCAGGACGGGGAGAAAAAAGACACCCCAAAATGAAGAAGGATGCCGCGGCCCCCCCCCCAAAAAAGGACCGTCTTTAAACCCCCACCCCCAAATAAAGGACACTGCACGCAGGCGTTGCTCTCACCTCCGCGGTGGGAGATGTGCCGGCACCGAAACCGGTGGCGTTTGCGCCGGTGGAGCAAGCCGGGAAACTTCAACAGCAGAACGGAGGTGAGGAGATAGCCGATCAGTGTGGAGAGGAGGTAGAAAACGGTCGACATGGCCGCGCCGAGAGCGACCCACCGAACGGAAGACCGACAGCCTCGCCTCTCCCGGCCCTTCTGCAGCCGGCAACCCGAGGAGAGTCGCCACCACGCGGCGCCCCGCCCACTCCGTCTGCCGCCGCCACCAATAGCGGAGGGGCAGGAGGAAGCGGGAGCGCATCCGCGAAGCCGATTGGCCGGCGACAAGGACGCTGGGGGTGGGGGCGGAAATTAGCTGGGCGGCCGCGGCTTGCAGTTAGAAAGAAAGAAGAAACGGGGGGGGGGGGGAGCGCCTCACTTAGCGGGTGACGTCAGAGCGCTTGGCCAAGCGGAGAACGGAAGTAAAGGTTGCTTAGCTGCGGACGCGGTAGGGGAACCGCCCCTCTTTCCCGCCATTAAAAATGCCTGCATATCTTTTTTTTTTATAATGATCGTTGCTGTTGTTGTTATTTCTTCCCGGTGGGAAATGGTGGAAATCTGGCCCAAGGGCCCAGTGCATGAACTCAGAAATAATATTAATTTTATTTATGCTGTTATTTGCAGGGGAAGGGTTCCATTTCTAACTGGTGGCTTTATTATTATTACCTTTATTGTCAGAGTACAACATGTTTACAATGAGATTGGCTGAGCCTTCTTCGTGCACCCCCCCCCACACACAACTCACAGTGAGGACAGAAATCCCTAACCCAGTCCCAATCTTATTACACTATGTGACCTGGTTGCACAACGCGCCGGCCCTGCAAGTCTATCATACTATGTTGACATGAAGTTATTTTCCATTCAGAAGTCTCACAGCCCACAGATAGAAACTGTTCTTCAGCCTGTTGGTGTGGCTGGCTATGCTTCTATATCTCCTACTCCCGTGATGACGAACCTATGGCACCTATGGGAGAAGATAACAAAATACAAAGACCTGCAGATCGAAATAGAATGACTGTGGCAAAAGAAAACAAGGGAAGTTCCAGTAGTCACAACACCTTGGGTGCGATCCCCAAACTGTACACCATTGGCACTGACAACAATCACCATTAGTCAATTGCAAAAAGCAGCATTGCTTGGAATACCTTCTATCCTACAAGAATAACTTAACACCATCAAAGAACAACAAGTCCTCGGGAAGCCCTCGAGGGGTAGATAAAAATGCCAAATCCGGTCTAAACATCCGGCTGACTGCGCAATGAATCATGACGTTTCTAATTGTAGAATTGTATTGTTTACTTAATGGTTTGATAATGTGGAATAGTTTGCCTTCAGAAGTTGTGGGTGCTCCAAGAAGAGACTGGACAGCCATTTCTCTGAAATGGTATAGGATCTGCCTGAGCAAAGGGTTGGACTAGAACAGTGGTCACCAACCGGTGGGGCAGAGGCCACTGGTGGTCCACGAGAAAATGTTGGTGGTCCATAGAGAAATGTCCCCCCCCCAAAGCATTCCCCCCAATTAATCCAGGCTGCGCTGGAACACAAGGCTGTGCCGTCCACCTGGCCTGCCCACCCACTGGCCCCCACCCTTCGGCCGAGCACAAACCTTACCTTGAGTAGAGTCATGCGAGCTGGAACTGGAAGGTAAGACCAACGGCGGGGGAGGGAAATCCACCCCAGGGTGGCTTGCTGTCGTTGGTTCCATATTCCAGAGCTGCAGTAGTCACAAGACTGACCCTTTGGTCATCCCGGAGCAGCTCCTCCAGTCCATGGCAGGCTGGTGCACCTGGGTGGAGGAGCAGCTGCTCCGGGATGACCAAAGGGCCAGTCCTGTGACTGCTGCAGCTCTGGAATATGGGACCGACTTTCCCACCAATGTCAGCAAGCCACCGTCAGTCAAAATTCATATTAGTGGTCCACAGGATTTAAAATTATGAGGTTGGTGTCCCTGAGGTACTAAAGGTTGGCAACCCCTGGACTAGGCATCCAAGTTCCTTCCAACTCCGTTATTCCGTATTTTTGTAATAAAAGCAAACTTTATTGAATATACAATTAAAATAAACGAACAAACACATACACAACATAGAAAAACAAAGAGAACAAAAAAAAACGAATAAAGGGCAATTCCATTATCGACAGTTTGTGGTTCCTTATTTGTTATCATTATTAGTGTCATATTTACAATTAAATCTTAATGCGAGTATATACGGTAGTTACTACCGATGTAGCTTAATCTCCTTTACAGTTTAATAGTGTTTGCTATTATATTATCTACCTTTGTTCTATCCAATTGTACCAACATTCCCAACTCTTGTAATATTCTGATGATTCTTTATATTTAAGTGCTAGGGTCAATTTATCCATTTCTGCACACTTACTATTTTCTGAATAGTCAATTCCTCTGTTGGAATATAGGCTTGTTTCCAACATCGTACAAAAGCTAATCTAGCTGCAGTAAGTATGTGTAATATTATATATTTAGCTTTTTTTGGAAGTTGTCTATTGAATGTTATTCTGTATTTTCATTGTACACCTTGCAGGATCACGCTTTGTGAGAAGATTGGCATATATATAAAACGATAAATAAAAACGATGAGGTAAAAATAGCACACTTAATTCTCAAGCTGCAACCAAATGTGCTTTACAGATTTTCAGGCCTTACCCCACCAAAGTCAACATGTCTGCTCTAGCAAGAAAAGTGCATCCATGCAATCTATAAATCTCTTGGTTAAGGGTTAATGTCTTTACAATCATGTTTCAGAGGTTAATCTCAAGTTATGACCATATTGGAACCTACCCATCGTAGACGTAATGTCAAGCCTGAATTTAGTTTGGTGGTGGAATTGTATGAATTCAGTTTGACACACTTGAGAAATGGATTGCATTATTTGGAACCTGAAACGTAACTTGTGACAGGTCTTAAAGTGTCTGTGACTAACCTGATTTTACAACTTAACCTGTTCTGTTCTGTGGACGGAATATCTGAATGGCCACTATAAATATTATGAGATTGAAAAAAAAAAGAACATAAAAGTGATTTACATCTAAGTTACTCTGAGTTCTTGGAACTGCTGAAAGGACTGCACCATAGACTGGAGATAGAAGGGGTTGTATCCCTCCCCCTCAGTTGAGGGCTTTCAGCAATTCCAAGAAGGCTCCACACCCATTTGCATCACTCAGGTGACCCTGAGGACACAAACAAACCTCCAAGTACCTCAACGACTCCCTAAAAGGATGCAAACGACCATCTGTCTGCAAGGAATATAAATCTTCCATTCCCCACCATCCAGTCAGAACTGAAGAAGCTTCTTTGGAGGAGAAGCGAATCGTCTTTAAAAAAAACAAAACACCAAAAACAAGAAAGTCCAGTTGTCTCTTGAAAAAAGCACCTTTGGGACAACTATGACTGAGAAACTCCATAGACACTGAGTATATCTCAGCCATGGCAACTTGAGGACCTGTGGACTTCAACTCCCAGAATTCCCCAGCTATCAAGTTTTGTTTGGAAATAAAGTGGAACAGTTGTGATGAACAATGGAGAAACAAATGTTTTATTGTAATTTTTTTTTCTTCCTTCATTACGATCAACAGAGCTTGGCAAGCCACAACTTTGCTGTACTGCTGACATACCCACGATTATAATATTCCGACTTGGCACTTAACACATCATATTGATACTAAGACACTTTCCTCCCCTGTATGGCGCCTCTGCCCAATTAAACCAGTGATTGCTGCAAGCACACCAGCTATATGCAATCAAAATCCATCATTTCCATTCCGGCTGGGTGAAGAGGTGAGGAATTATTATATTTTAAAAATAATAATAATAGTAAAACCAAGAATTGCAGAACCAGTTCAGGTCGCCAAGTCTATTGTATAACGGCCTTTAGGATCCCTCGAAGAAGCTTGTAATTCATCAACTGCTGGGTCTCCTTCGGTGGGAAGCATGCACCACGTTCTGTCACGTAGGCGTAAGGAAAACGAAGGACCCACAGCCCATCGGGGGGCAGAGTTATCTCTTGCTTCTCTGGGTAAAATATAGGGCAAGGAGGAGGCCCTGGCTGTACCTGGATGAGAGGAGAAAGAAGCAACTTTAATTTTCGGTTTTGCATAAAGCACATTAAATGTAAATTAGTTTAGTACCTAGAGTACTGCATCCAGTTTTGGTCACCACACTATAAAAAAAGATGTTGAGATTCTGGAAAGAGTGTACAGAAGAGCAACCAGGATGATGAGGGGACTGGAGGCTAAAACATAGGATGAATGGTACTGGGCTTGGCTAGTCTAGGGAAGAGAAGGACCAGGGGAGATATGATGGCAGTCTTCCAATATTTGAGGGGCTGCCACAAAGAGGAGGGGGTCAAACTATTTTCTAAAGCAACCAAAGGCTAGACAAGGAATAACAGATGGAAACTGATCAAGGAGATTCAACCTGGGAATAAGGAGGAATTTCCTGACAGTGAGAACAATCAACCGATGGAATAGAAGTTGCCTTTGGAAGTTGTGGGAGCTTCATCACTGGAGGCTTTCAAGAAGAGGACTGCCATCTGTCAAAAATAGTGTAGGGTCTCCTGCTTGGGTGGGGGGTTGGACTAGATGACCTACAAGGGTTTGGCATGAAAGCCGACTGGATAATTTTGGGCTAATCACCAGGAGATGGTGAGTTCTAGTCCCACCTTAGGTATGAAAGCCAGCTGGGTGACTTTGGGCCAGTCAAGTCTCTTGTAGTTCAACCCAACTCACAGAATTATTGTTATAGGTAAAATAGCCACGGTGGCGCAGTGGTTAGAATGTAGTACTGCTACGTCTGCTGACTGCCTCCAATTTGGCAGTTCAAATCTCATGGGGCTCAAGGTTGACTCAGCCTTCCATCCTTCTGAGGTGGATAAAATGAGGAGCCAAATTGTTGGGGGAAATATGCCGCCTCTGTAAACCGCTTAGAGAGGGCTGTACAGATGAGATTTAGAAAGGACTTAGAAGAACATGGAATTGAAAAGGAACTACAACAATTGTATCAAATTTTGATAGGTAAATAAGAAAATCTTATACCAAGATTTTATAATTATTTATTAAGAGTGGAACTTGGAGGAAGAGATAGTGAAGGGACCAATGATAGCTTGGGCAAAGAACATAGGTCATAATATAAAATTAGATGATTGGGAAAGATTATGGACCAAAAACTACAAATTAACATT